ATTCTGTTAACTGGAAACCGTTAATTTAGATTTTAAGATCTATGAGCTGTGAATTGTGAAGTTCCTAATTATAATTTACCAAACATTAATGTCAGCGCATAAACGTTATAAATTATAACTTTTTTTTTATAATAAATACATATATTTTGAATACGTTTACTATGTATAAATAATAAAACAATTCATTTTTTTTTTTCATGAATAATAATGAAAATATTTAATAAGAAAAAAAAATATTTTGTATAATTATTGAGTTACATTTTAACCTTAAATAACCAAACTCAGGTTTATTTAAATTTATAATTTTAATAATATTAACTGCATAAAATTGGAACAAAATTAAAATATTATTACAATATTGTAATTAGTACCTATATTATTTATTATTATTATTTTCATTATATTATTCTTGTATAATTAAGTAATTTATTATTCAAACTAAAAGTTGAAGGTAAACCAAGTTTTTTTCTATCAAATGTCACGATTATTGATTACTTATTATATTAAAGCAAATCATTAAGCATTTTAACTTTATTAGGGTTAGTATTATTAACGAAGGAAAAATAAATTAGATTTAATGTCAACTTTTAGTCCGTCATGTTGAAATTTTTATAATAGTAGATTGTAAAAAAATCATGTTATCTATTATTTTATTATATGGTCAGTAATATTTATTCAAGATTGACTAATGATAGTCATTATGACTCACGATATAATTAGATAATATGCTATGTTTATAGTGTTTATGTTGTACTCAAATATAAACGATACCTGGAGCTTCAAAAATACATACCAACAAACGTATTTTACATTTGACACAAAATGACCAGAATAATTAAATGAATAAAACAAAATCACTTATATCTACTTCAATAGTTTTTGAGAAAAATTCAAAATGTAGGCAATAGCTAGATTTAATCACATATTATTGTATAGGTACTATAAACATAGTAGGTACATAATACATAGATAAGGCTGCAGTTATGGTTACCTGATGAAATCTCTTCGTATCGGAGACGTATAAAGTTATTTGTTACTAATTAGTTGCCTAAAGGTATTATGGAAGTGGTGGTTTTGAATTTGTTCAGCAATAGTTGAAAACTGCGTTATGGAAAATACCTAATACGTGGTGGAAGAATGTTGTTACAGACGTTTAGGTGTTTATGAGGATAAATGATGTAAACGTTAGAAGTTGTTAAACTGAGATATCACAGTTTTCTAAACTTATGTTTGGTCATCAGTGAATAGATTGATCTTTCAATACAGTCGTGACCATTAATAACAAATAAAAGTCGTCATGGGACGTGTACCGATTTGTAATAGATATGAACCCAATCATATAATAATTATTTAAATAAAAATAATGCGTACGCGATGTCTTCAAATATTAAATGTACCTATTGCGCATATTACAATATCACTATGTCATAATGAGACAATATTATATTATACATTAGATGGTTCACCGGCTCTCCACGTCTGACCAATTATTTTTTATGAACAACAAATGATGTGTAGAGTTAATTTATATAAATATTTAAACAGTTAAAAGTGAATAACTAATTTTCATTGAGTATTAAAATATGTTTTTGTACTAATGTTAACTTGAAGTAGGCACCTAAACCTTAGGTATGATCTATTTGTGTATAGAAGAGTATAACATATTTTAGTAGCGAACCACGGGTACGAGTACGAAATATCTAGAAGACCCTCGTGTAACGGTGAATAATATTTATATCGGTTTATTATTTCAAACAGTAAATAGTGAATACTTATCATCCCTATAAACGATTGACAATAGACCGTATTTAAAATCGCCCTAGTGATAATCTTAAATAAATAATTTTTTCGTGTTACAATTTTCACAATTATTTTATTTTATTTTGTTTATATATTTTATACATTTTTTACAAGTGTTTTCTTAATCAAATTACGACAGATATTTTGTTTCTACAATGTCATATACAACAAAGTAGAATATAATGTTTATAGTTGTAAGGAGTATTCAATATTGCTGTTTGTATTCATTCTAAATTAGTACCTATACGGCTATACATAATCATCACTATAAATTAGGTACCTATGCCATTTGGTTTCCTTTGGAATTTTATCTGAATAACGGATATCGTGGCAAAACAATACAATAGTCTGTTCGATTCGTACGTGATAATGTATAATTCATTCACTAGAAACATGGATCTTTCTCAATATTTTATTATAACATGATATAACACGTTTCTTTGCAATACCTTACAAGTTATAATGAGAATGAGTGTATAGGTTACATGATTGTTATGTCAATACGTCAAAATAAATCATTGATTGGTGTTATAATAACTCACTATAATATATGCTCGGTATATAATAATATATATATAACTAGGTATATAATAATACCCATAAACCTACGACAAGGATTATCTCGTTACGATGTCTGCTAAAGATCTCCGCTCGGTGACACTTGTCATGTGCATAAGAAGTGCACAACTTAAACTGCAGTTCTAGCCAGAAACGACTTAAATCTAATAATATTATATTATTAGTAATAAGATTCCGTATAGTTTCGACTCAACTAGAACACAACTGACGAAAAAGAAAAAAAAATAGTAAAACTCACCCTGTGACCAGTATATTATCCAATTCACGTCGAAGTTTGAAATGTTTGAATGTTATAGCATATAGACAAAACTCAATTATTTACTCGAATATATTATATCCATCTAAGTATATATTTTATGCTTGAAAGATATTATCTAGAATCCTTCGCACGTAAGAATTTTCCGACATGATATCGTGCTTACTCCACACGATTTTTATTGCGGTAGGTCGTAGGCACGTCTATATAGGGTTAGGAGTATCGTTCTGACCTTGATAAATCTATAATAATATAACCTGTTTATTATGTATTTTAATTTATAGCTGTTTAAAACAAATTAATTTATATAAATAAATAGTTGGTATACCTACGTTGAATAAACAATTTTATATTATGACGATGGTTTGCAACGATATAACAAACTACGATTTTCGCACGTAATTATTGTATCCCTGGCTAGGGTGAGAGCTAAACTTGATGTGTCATGTGTATAATAATATTATAAGTTAACACACCCCCGATCAAAAAATAAAAAAAAAAACCAAAAGTATATTGTAAACAAAATAATGAAGGTTTAAAACGCGTGTTTACCGAGGGACGGCAGATAAATACATTTTGAATTTGTGATTCATGACGAAGGGCAGTCTTCATGTTCATATCGACTTATAGTTCATGTGTAAAGCGGCCACGTCACTTGCGTCCTCGCCGCACCGGTGAAGGAACGTTGTGCACCGGAACAATACGACGCGAATATAATATTTGTCCGACACGTAATATATGCCAAACTCGTGACAGCCTCAGTAGTACGTCATTCAGGAGATATTCTGTTCACCACGGACGTGTGCGAATGACACCATCAGATTTCCGCTATTAAACACTCATCAGCTGGAGCGATACAAAATTATTGTAGTACCTATGACGGTCGAATTCTAAACTAATGCCAATATTGTCTGTGAATCCACGTGGAAATAATCAGGGTTTTATTTTTACTTTTCCAAAGTTAGAGTCTAACCGAAAGAGCATTATTAGAGCCCATCTGCAGTATAAATATTTTCCTCTCCTATGTGCTGTAAAAACATTCAATTGTTCAGGTTAGTTTTCATTCACATCCAAAACTCATTCGAAAATCACTATTCATTCATTAGCATACATACTTCAGTATACTGTTTGTGTTTTTTTTAATTTTTTTTTTTTTTATTGATGAAAAAACCCATTAAGTTATAATAGCGACTTTATTTAAAATAATAAAATATAAATCTGAAAAGAATTAAAGTTCAAAATATACCCAGAAAATTATAATAATCGTAATAATAACATTAACAATAATGAAAAATTGTAACCAAATTGAATAGAAAACTAGTGTCATTAAATGTTAGTTTTAAAACAAAATTCAACGTCTCCCTTACACAGAGTCTAAACATAAATAATTCATTTCAAAGACCATTCATTTTCAATAATAATTTAAATTATTCCATACAATTAATTCATAAAATAAATTGTTCGATATATTTTGTGGTACAGCTTTAATGTATTATTATTATGAAAATAAAAATATTATTAAATAATTTTAAAGTTCACTTTTATACCTATATTTTTTGAAAACAACACAAGTTTCTTATTTTTTGTCATGACAAAAGTTAACAAATTAATCTATTTTAGTAATCTGTTTTAATTTTTGTTGGAATATAACTCTTGTAATCTTGGAGTATTTTTAATTAATTTCACGTGTGACTGAAACTTAAAAACTTTTTTTTAATATTCTAAGTAAGGTAAGAAGTAAAAAATAATAAAATCTGATAATAACTTGGATACAATCCATCTTTTTATAACGTGCATTTTAAAATTGTTGTCGTATAATAGAATTTGTTTTATTGTTATCTTTAAAGGAAAATGTGATTGTGTTTTAACGAAATATAGTGTTAAATTTTAAGTACTTAAATTGCTAAAAAAGTTAAAAATGTTTGTATGTGTCAAATGCTAATTTATCCAATCGAATTTAACAGTTAAATAATCATGAACAAAATGTTCAATTTGTTTTATTAGAAATTTACTGTATTTAGTCTTTGTCCCAAAGGTGTGGAGTCTGCAAGTGCAGTCGGTTAAAAATATTTATATACAATATAGTTTGGCAGGAGAAAATCCACAAGTAACTTAAATGAATATACATTTAACAGACGATAATAATAATTTACTTATTATTTTTCATTAAGATAATAGGTCACACTGGACATGTTTAGTATTTGTTTGGAATACAAATCACGATCACGACTTGCCAAAAACCTTGCCTACTGTTAGACGATGTTTTCGAACTTCACATTTTCACTCGAATAAAACATAATGAGGCAGCAAATGTACTTAAAAAAAAAAAAAGGGAAAAAAAGTCACTCATTAGCTTCCGATGTCATCACATATCAGTAGTTGACCCATAGTTGCTGGGCACCCGAACGGAGAAAACTGCAATGTCGCACTTTCGACGATTTTTCTTCATCGGCACGTGGCCATCAGAATTCGGATTGTTGCCACATGCACTCTGCACACGCGAAATTCCTGGGTCGTAAAATTCTATGGTCTCGCATGCCATCCGTTCCCGGCAACATCTATGCACGACCTGCATTTTCAGGTCGGTTTGTTTCTTGCACTTTAAAAATACGATTAGACATTATACTTTTCCAACGCACATTTGTTTTTACTTTTCGTTGCGTGCTACCTCACCGTGGTAATAAAACGACGTACCAAAATGCGGTGATTGGTATCCCCTATCCACGCGATACATCGAAACAGTGTTATAGACGGTGCCCATTTCCAGCCCTCTATTCAGACCCTCTATCGCATCTGAAGCTCGTCCGAGGACTAATATGTTTATGTAAATAGATGGGATGGGACATTTTTTACTATGACAATCACCCTCCACGCCACATGACAATACATTTCTTAATTACTATTATATTTCCAGCAGTAATACACCTAATGTTTGTTTTAATAATTTTACATACAAGACACTAGTATTAACCAACACATAAAAAAAAAAACACAAACAAACATAGACGCTAGAACAAATATTATATTGTTCAAATTGTCAAACAAAATGTCATACTACCCAACATTGGGTAGGAGTAATTTGGATTTTTTAAAATAATAATACCTATGATGTAAGAAATAAAAATAAGAATTCAAAAAATTAAATATTTTACCTTTACCGGTTGGAATAAAAAGCAGATTCCAGATATATAACACAAAAGAACTATACATTTGTTTCACACATTTTATTTATTTTATTCATGTTTAATTCCTTGAATGAGGTATGTTTTATACATATTTTGCTTTGTCAATTGCAAAAATATTATGAACACAGAATAAATTATTTAATATTTTTTTCCCTGTAGAAAAATAGTATGAATGACATTTTCCACGGTGGTTTGGTTGCATGTTTTGGTTATATTACTGTAAGCATGTTTTGAAATCAAATCAAATTGAGATTCCCAACATAAGTAAATGATTATGACTTTTCATACTTTTTTAATGATCTTTGTTGGAAATAATAATTATTTCTGAAACACTCAGTGGGGGCATTGAAAATATAATGCTTGTCAGTTTCATTTTGTATGATATTATTCTAACCACAATAATAAAGCCATATATTATAAGTGCAATGCCATATTCAAGTTTTCGCTGTTAAAAAAGTAGAATAGACATTACAGCCACGATTTTAAATGTCAACTGTGAAATTTACCACGTGAATACTTCGCATTTAACAATTTAACCATACAATTTATTAATATAAGCATTCTGTTAAATTAATGATAACAATTTATATAAAACTACTATGAATTACTATGAAGACATGTACTAAAAAAAAAAAAAAAAATGCTACAAAATATTCAACATTTTTTATACAGTCTTTTAATATTTATTAGGAAAAATGTCAAATGATTTAATTAGGTATAAACCAATAACTACTTAATAACCATTTTAATAGCATGTGATAGAATACATTTTATACTCAAGCAACTCGTTGCTTACAAATATTACAAATATTAATTAGAGGATCAGTAGTATAATGCAGCTGGTAGGTAATTTTCAAAACAATCGATACAAATCAAAAAAAAAAAAAACAAAAAAAAAATATGGAAAATTAGAATATTTACGCAGCACCAGTATTTGACAAAATCGATTTGGTTTTTTTTGTTGTAATTCAAAACTGAACATTTTTACACATTCATTTAATACGTTTTGTAATACTTTATGATTGTAATAAGTAATAAATATTCATATTTTATTTTAAATTGTTTTGTTAATTAAATGACTCTTGTTTTTTTCATATCGTTATTATAATATTATTGCTTATAGTATACATAATTTCTCAATGATCGGTTTCTCAGCTGATATGTACCAAGTATCTACATGGCTACACCCTAATACCGTGCTTATTATATTTTAGTTTCCGTGCCAGGTATTATGATTCTCAGATTATTGGTTTTAGTATGTGCCTAAGTGTGTAAGTAGCATACGTAATGATTATTTGAGGGGTATTAGATTTTGGCTATAAATTTGACATTAATAATATTATGTACCTATTTTACCATGTTAGGAAACAATAAGGCCATATCTATGGTATTTTTGTCAGGAGAAGAGGGAAAAAAGTGTTAAAATCCAAGTCCATATTATAATTTTAACAATAGATATGTCATGAGCCATGGTTTGACTCATTTAAATGTTCTAAAAATAACCAAAACTGCACTTGAAAACAAAATGCGTTTTCATCGCAATAATTCCATTAAAAAATGACAACAATTTTATTGTTTTTATAGAAATACGACTAGGCAAACAATAGGTAAATTATGGTTTAACTGTCGGCCTTTTTAACACTTTTTTATTACATTTCATTATTAAACTAAAATTTACACAAAAACCAACTTAGACATAATATACTATGACTATGACAAATAAACCCTATACTAAAATATGAGACCGATATTTCCAACTGACCAATTAATTGTTATTCGCTTGAGTTCCGGTGGTACTATAGACGTTATTCCATCCATACATAGAACAATATTGACATACGGATATTGACGTTCAGATGAATAATGCATAGAAAGCAAATATAATGATGATACAATGATATACCTAGGTACTTAATCTTGATTTAATATTTTTAATTTCAATATTTACACTAAAATCTCGTACAATTAACAATGAATATAATTACGTGAAAATGCTAAAAGTTGAAAATAAGAGTTTCACCTTTCAAGTATCTGTCACATGAAACAAATGTATTGTCTTGGACTACAAAATAAATAATGCACTTTGCATTGACATTCGGACCCTAGTCATTACTCAATTACTGTATCATCATTGTCATAATACATTTCGAATATACATATAATACGTTTACATATTTTTAATAATATACAAAAAAATAAAAAGATTCTATGATATTATGATTAGTAAAATGTCGGGTGTGAGCCCCCACTTGTTTCAACCACATAGACCCCCCCCCAAATACAACATTGATATGAATCGTAGATTCCCGATATTTTACATTAACGGTTTTTAAATATTACACAGCGTTACATTGCTCAAGGAAATAAACTATGAAATAGATATTTTAAAACGCATTTTTCAAAATTATTCCATTTCGTTTTATCATAGGAACGGTTCAAGGTAATGGCTAATGTGGCAGTGAATCGGGCCAACATGTTGACGAGAATATGGAAGTATGGCGATCCCGAAGTAACGGCCTCCGAGTATTTGCTGCACGCCGGAGTTATATCTATGGTGGAGTTCGACAACGACATATTTGCAGCCGGAAACTGCTATGACCAACACCAGTACAAGAAATATTGGCTGTTTTGTCCATACGCGTACAGACTTCCAGACGGCGAGGGTATACTGGCCAAAGATTTGGCCGTCGAGTATAACTATTTATCCAACACCAGCGAATGGTTTTACATAGCTCGACACAAAGCACAAGGCGTGATCAATAGGAACAACCAGTACAGTCACGGTAAGCTAAATAATGTATTATTATTGTGTACATTTTCGTTTTAAAAACGAGCACTGGTATTATACTAAAAGCATTACAACTACTAATCTATAATACGGATTTCACGTGCCAGCGATAGTTTCCAATTATTGCAATAAAAAGGCATTGGCTGAACGCGATCAAGTATACGATAAATATTCGTGAAACCAATCTCCAACCAGTGTAATGGATTCTTAGAAATTTCAAAAAAAAAAACTCCAAGTGATCTTGAGGAATTCGTATAGCTTATATAGTAATAACTCATCATGAAAATATTTTTTTGCTCTTGTTGTGCTGTAGTTTTTTACTTTCGATATAATTATGCATTTTGTGTGGGTTTCGTAGAAACTCAACAACCAGAAATATATGAAGTACCCATCTCAAACTTCGAAATCTCTAAACAATTTTTTTGTTCTTTATTATTTATTTTATTCCACAGTTGAACTACATGAGAACAAAATGTTACTCTACACAATTGTTTTAATTTTATTCAACAAAATAACAAGTGTTTGTGTTATGTCAATGATATTACGAACTGATTTCCAGAGATTTCATTACTTTTATTCATATTAGATACCTACCTATACAATATAATATATTATACTAGATTAAATTCTATCAACAAAATTACAAGAAAAAAAATATATTATAAACCTGACATAAATTAACCATACGTCTTCACTATCTACATTATCAATGACTGTTATGTGTGTGTGAGGTAATGTGAAACTGTTCTCAACCAACGTCGGTGGTTCGAAGTTCAATATCAGCAAATTTATAAAGCAAAAAGAAACCTAAAACTTCTAAAACATACTATCTCCAAAACTTGCAACTGTAAATAATAAAACTGTTGACAATAAATTTACTGATAGACCAGTCGACTTAATATTCAAAATCTTCAGGAAAAAGAAATATTTTTAATTTTTAAGTACGAATTTGGTCTTAATATATTGTTATGTTACTTACGTTTAAATTAATATTTTGTTTAAATTGTAAAGATTAACAGCTACAAATATTACAATGGTGAATATAGTCGTGAAAAACATGGACGATCGATTAGTCGAATATTGATACAATATTACAGTAAAAGTTTAATACCTAGTTTTTACTATGCTATATTATTATAATCAAAAATAAAACAAAACCATGGAAGTAGTTTTACTGTATAGCAGGTTAGTTTCAAGATGTACTTCGTCATTGAGTTGGTCAATGTAATGGATATAAGAAGTTGAAGATAAAAAAGTCCATACACTTTAAGTACATTTTATGATATATTCATATTGATATTATGGTAATTTATTTTACTATATTTTGTAGGTGGTATCTTTATATGGTTTAAATATAAATATATGATTAATATAAATATTTTGAAAATATTATTGAGTACCTATTATATTAACGTCAAATATAAGTTCAACTTATCGCATGTATAATAGAAAAATAAATAACTCAAGTTATATAAATATAATATTATTATATATCCCTAGAAATCTTATAGGCAAACAAACCATCTCCGCTCAGAATCGTTTTTTGTATGCAATGATAATAAAATATTATCAATGAACATAAATTTAACACATCCATTTCTGTATGTATTCCACTACTGATCCTCCTCAATGCTGAGGTACAATCGACACCTCTAATATACAGCAGATCGACTTCCCCAGTTACATAATAGTACTGGGAATTGTTTGGCTCCCAAGGTACCAAATAGATCTAATTTTCTACAAGAAACTACTTACAAAGTTTAATTGAATCTGTTTCGTCAAACACGAAAAAATAAATCATTTTCAAATCAGTACATTCTCCAATCCACTCAGAATCTTAAAAAATATTAAAACCATAGTTTTGTAAATTGTATCAACCGTAATATATTGTTATTATTATATTCTAACCACCCAGTTGGGATTTCACACTTATTGTATCACAAGTACAATATTTTTTCTGGAAAAGACATTAAACCAAATTTAAAATGTCATTTGACAGTTGAATAGTAGTTTTTTGCTGTAATAATAATATTATGATCATTACAACCATTATTTTTGTGGTATAAACTCAAATTGTTTTACCTAATTGCTTATATTATTATAAAAATCCATAATACCTTCATTTGTATGAATATATAGTACATAGGTAATACATTTTTTAATTAACATTAATCATATTATGCTTAACCCTATGTTATTAGTATAAAATATTAACGAAAAAAAAAATAAATTTAAAACACAAAATTAGCGACCAAAGTTAATTACACTAGGTTTTACATAATCATGGCCATAAATCATTAGATTGGATCAAGATTTGATTGACTTTGAAGTCTAATGGTTGAATATATTTTTATTCAATGAAATTACTTTGCTTGTGGGATTAGGGTTGCAATGCTGTATTATACAATATATTCTTTGATTCTATTTTGTTTATCTTCTTACATGTATATATGGCACTTGCACGATAGGATTTAAGTTAAATTCAATAAGGGTCTGAGTATTTCAGTAATGCTATGAGTAAGTGGTTATATTATAACCGAATGAATTTGAATATGACAAATCTATTTCTCCGGAAAAAAATGAGTGTAGAGACTAGTGACTGTGGGTGTTAGACAAATTATCACTTCGCTCTTATTGGAGAAGAATATTAACGTATTATTAAATTATAAATAAAAATATTGGGACGGAGTGATCGAGCGGACTAAGCGTCGGTTGCGAGGCGCACCATCGTTGGTTATAACTCGGCCACGGGCGTCATTTTTGTTCGGGAAAGTCACGGTGTCCGGAGACAAGTGCCGCCATCATGGGCATGACAGATACTCACCAAAAAATTTGCCAAACACATACGTGTTCCCACGAAACCACAGTTCCAAAGGCTAATAACATCTTAAGTTGAAGCCTCAACTCCCCTCCCCCCCAAAAAAAACTTATTCTTTCAGATTTTAAAATGAGTACAATTTGTTTGTTGTCTATATATTTTGAATTTGAAAAAAGTCCTTGAATATAATATTATATACATAACTCATCTCTTAATACACTTATTTTAGTGGAAGTAGTTATGTGCTATACATTTTATTTTTTGTTATTAGTTGTTTATACAACGATATTCGCTTTATTATACTTAGTTAATAGTTACAAACTCCGAAAAAAATATAAAAAAAACATATTTTTTAAGTATAAAATATTTGAAAATACAAAAAGCATCTAGGCGTTATACTTACTAAAAATGATTGCACTCCTTATTCCTAAAAACAAGATAACAATAGATAGCCCAACTAAGCCTTACTTAGGCCCACTAACCCTTCATCGTACTTCAGGTAAGTTGTTGATATATTACTATTTACAAACAATAATATAAAACCTTGTTTGAAGTTCCTGTTCTAATAATTACTTTAGAACTAATATGATGATGAATTGATAATATTATTAACTATTATGATAGTATATTTTAGTTTCATGAGGTGTAGTAATTATGCATAGTTTAAATTTAATCAGAATGCTTTCAATTAGTTTGAAATACTATTTTACAAACGCATTTCTGATGACAACTTACTGGTAATTTAAAATTGTATCTTCTAATAAATATTTAAATACGAAATAGTCACTCAATCCCCTCCGACCCCACATATAATATAGTCTGGAGTTTATACATTTCACTTCAGTTGGTCAGAAGTGAAATAAACTATTTTTAATACGAGACCCCTTTGTCATCACGTAACGTAACATTGATATAGCTATATGGAACAAAAATAGACCTAATGGCTATTAACCGGGGTTAATCACTGGAAGCCTTGGAAGTTATACATCAATAAAATACAAAAAAAAAAAAAACATTACGACACATAAGTTGGTAAAAATTAAGTGAGTCATGGTATATCATTAACTTGTATAAACTGTAATTAGATATATTCCCATAAAAAAATGTGTATACCTGCATATTTAATATTGATATATATATATATTAACGAATTATTATTATATTAAATTCTTACAAACCCGCCCTAATAAAAAAAAATATTTAAAATATGATATTATGGACTGTTGTAATAATAGTACCTTTACAGATGCATAGCCATATAATTTGGGTTTCTCATTTATGATGCGAAGAGGTCATGAATAATACATTTTGTACTTTTTGAGGTACCTACACGGAAAACATTTGTACGATCTTGTAAAATATATATTTGATAGCATTATAGACTGAAGTAATACAAATATATTTTCTTGTTATTATTATTTATTAGGTAACCTGTTGTAAAAATTGAGAGATAATTCGATAATTTTCGATGGTCTTCAAAAAAAAAAAATTTTAGTATTGCTATCTAATTCAATTAACTAATTGTTATGGACATGAAAATTAAACAAAAGATAGAATACCCTTAGATATTATCACTTGTTAAAAAATAAGTTGTATTATCTTTTGTAGGTATATCTTTTGTGTTTGTTATTAGTAAATCTAAATACTCAAAAATTGAATAAACATTTTTTGAAAAAAGTTATATCAATAGAATCCTCTAGACTAGAACAGTGTATACAGCTCGTTTATAACTTATTCTTGCAATCCCCATAGGATAGATGGAAAATCCGTGGCCCACGAGTCCAACATTGCTCGCGGAAAAATGTTGAGAACAATTGAAAAATTAAAATATATCTATACGTACCTATTGACTATTATATTTTATTTTTAATAATAAATAAGAAGCCCACAATTTTTTCTTATAATTATTTAAATATATTATATATTATTTTTCATTAATTTAATGGAAAAATCCGAATTAATCCGGTTATTTTTGGCACGGGGCCGTTAGAAAAATTAGCCACCCCCGCCCTATAGATTAATAGAGGATGGATCTCACATGAATTTAGTTTTGGGCTCACGAAAATCGAATAAGTATTATTTTGTTTATTAAAACGGTTGCAGACATTATAATTAGCAGATAATAATATAATATATGACATGATGTAAAAATGTTTGTACCTATTCGTGTATTTTAAAATAAAATACTTATGAACACAATATTTATTTTAATTATTACTTT